CCATTTGCGCCAGACAATTTCCAACTTTCCAATGAAATGCAGTTTGTTGCGCTCTGTCTCCGCCCAAACATTAGAATTCACCAATGAGTGATTTTATATATTTGATTCAAATATCAGGCAAAAGTGGTGTGGATGCAAGTGCTCAGCACGCAACCACTGGCCCATCTGTCCACCTCCCCCCCAAGTAATTGTAAAAGGCAAAATTAAAGGCGGTAAACGTGTCGCTACGACTTTGAGTGGAAGTAGAATGCATGGCACATCCAAAACAAGAATTAATCAACGCCCAATGCTTTATCCTTTCTTTCTATACATTCTGCTTTTTATCAACCTCCATGGCATGGCCGAAAGTACGAGGTTAACTGATGTAGTCCCTATTTAAGATTGTCGCATGCTGTTCGCTGCTCACCGGATCGTTTGTGGTCCCAGCACTGACAAAAGACGACACCTTCGAGCAGTGGCGAAACGTATTCCTCATTTACGCGTTCGTGCTGACGCTGTCGAACACGATCTTCATCGCATTTGCAAGGTGATTTTTGCTTCCTTGGGAATATTTTCAGCATTATAGTAGTACCTATCACTCCTGCCCTACCAGTCACAGTGACCCCTCAATAGCCACACAGTTCACGTTTTTTTTACTCCATCGACTTTTACTTCAAATGATTTCTTTGCAGAGCTGAGCCTGCTGAATGGGTGACGAACCCCTCGAAAGCTCAAATCATGCCAGCAGACTGCATTACAGTAACTACGAGCGGCTTGCCACAGTCCGATAGTTCCACGCCAGAAGGACCGCGTTTGCAAGGGGCTGTGTGAATCATTTACTGGACGGACTTCTCTGCAATTTCAAGCACATCAGCGTGATCTCAATACTTAGTTCTGTTCAGATTACTTTTTAATACCTGGTAAGGAAGTAGTAACAAATGTGATCAAAACGAGAGACCTCCACATGGAGTTTTCCAGGCATTAGGCTACGTATCATTTCGACCATTATTCCATTTCGGTTCCAAGTTAAAGATAAGGACGATCGCTTTCTGAACACACACTTCTATCTCACTTGTTAAAACCCGTCCGTCTTTCTTCCATGCTTCTTCCCTTACCGATTTCTTTACCTCAAATTAATGTGACCTTCTAGCGAGGCAGCTAGCAATCGTTTATCCAACTCGTCAAGGAAAGGCTGACTTCATGCCACTGGCGTATACCTGTGTCTAACAAATCAAATGAAAATTGTGTGTTTGATGTCAAAAGTAAATAAATATGACAAACAAGATCTAAATTGTGCACAAAAGTTTATGTTTATGACTGAAATT